CAATTTTAAAAAAACCCTTTTCCCCAAAAATTTTGGGCCCCCTTTTTTTTTTAAATTTTTTTCCCCCCTTTTTTTAAAAAAAAAAAAAAAAACCCCCCCCCCAAAAATTTTTTTTTTCCCCCAAAATTTTTTTCCCCCCCCCAAAAACCCCCCTTTTTTTTTCCAAAATTTTTTAATTTTTCCCCCCCCAAATTTTTTTTCCCTTTTTCCCCAAACCCCCTTTTTTTTAAAACCCTTTTTTTTAAAACCCCCCTTCCCCCAATTTCCCCAAAAATTTTTTTCCCCCCCGTTTCCCCCCTCCCCCAAAAATTTCCCCCTTTTTTTCCCCCCCCAACCCCCCTCCCCCTTCCCCCCCTTTTTTTTTTAAAAAACCCCCCCCCTTTAAACCCTTTCCCCCCCTTTTTTTTTACCCCCTTCCCCAAAAATTTTTTCCCAAATTTTAAAAAAATTTTTTTTCCCCAAAAAAGGGTTCCCAAAAATTTTTTCCCTTTTTTAAATTTTTAAAAAAAAATTTTTTGGGGGGGGTTTTTCCCTTCCCCTTTTTAAAGGGGAAAAAAAAAAATTTTTTTTTTAAAAAAAAAAAAAGGGGGGGTTTTGGGGGGTTTTTTTTTTTTTTTTTTTATATAAAAAAAAAAAATTTTTTATATAAATATATATTTTAAATTTTTAAAAAAAAAAAAATTTTTAACCCCCAAAAAACCCCCCCCAAAAAAAAAAAAAAAAATTTTAAAAGGGGGGGGGGGGGTTAAGGGGGGGGGTTTTGTGGGGGGGGGGTTTTTTTTTTTTTAAAAAAAAATTTTTTTTTAAAAAAAAAAATTTTTAAAAATTTTTTTAATATAAATTTTAAAAAAAATTTTTTTTTTTTTTTTAAAAAATTTTTTTTAAAAAAAAAAAAAAAAAAAAAGGGGTTTTAAAAATTTTTAAAAGGTTTTAAAAAAAATTTTTGGGGGGGGGGGGGAAAAAAAAAAAAAAAATTTAAAAAAAAAAAAAAAAAATTTAAAAAAAATTTTTTTTTTAAAAAAAAAAAATTTTTTAAAAAAAAAATTTTTAAAAAAAAAATTTTGGGAAAAAAAAAAAAGGGGGAAAAAAAGGGAGAGGGAGTTTAAAAAAAATTTAAATTTTTTTTCCTTTTTTTTTAAAAAAAAAATTTTTTTTAAAAAAATTTTTTTTTAAAAAAAAAAAAATTTTTTTAAATTTTAAAATTTTAAAAAAAAGCCAAAAGGGGGGGGGGAAATTTTTGGGGGGGGGGAATTTTTTTTTTTAAAAAATTTGGGAAGGGGAAAAAAAAAAAAAAAAAAAAAAAAAGGGGGGGGAAAAATTTTAAAAAATAAAAAAAACTTATTAAAAGGGGGAAAAAAATTGGGAAAAAGGGGGGGGGAAAAAGGGGGGAAAAAAGGGAAAAAACCCAAAAGGGGGGGGTTTTTTTTTTTTTTAAAAAAAAATTTTAAAAAGGGGGGGTTTTTTTTTTAATTTTTTTTAACCCTTTTTGGGGTTTTAAAAAGGGGGGTTTTTTAAAAAGGGGGCCCCTTTCCAAAAATTTTTTTTTGGGGTTTTTTCCCCCCGGGGGGGGGAAAAAAAAATTTCCCTTTTTGAAAAAAAGGGTTTTAAACCCCCTTTTTTTTAAAAATTTTTTTTTTTTTTTTAAATTTTTTAAAAGGGGCAATTAAAATTTTTTCCCATTTTTTTTTTAAAAAAATTTAAAATTTAAAAAAAAAAAGTGGGTTTTTTTTTTAAAAAAAGGGTTGGGGAAAAAAGGGAAAAAAAAGGGGGTTGGGGGTTTTTTGGGGGGAAAAAAAAAAAAAGGGGGGGGTTTAAAAGGGGGGTTTTTTTTTTTCCCTTTTGGGGGGTTTTGGGGGGTTTCCCGGGGTTTGGGGGAAAAAGGGGTTTTTTTTAAAAAATTTTTTTAAAAAAAATTTTTTGGGGGGGGAAAAGGGGTTTAAAAATAAAGGGGGGGAAAAAAAAAAAGGGGGGAAGGTTTTTTAAAAGAAAAAAAAACCGGGGGGGGGGTTAAAAAAGGAATGTGTTTTAAAAAAAAAAAAGGGGGGGGGGGAAAGGGGGAAAATTTAAAAAAAAAAAAAAGGGGGGGGGGGGGGTTTTTTTTTGGGAAATTTTTAAAAAAAAAAAAAGGGGGGAAAAAAGGGGGGGGGGGGGGGTTTTGGGGTTGGGGAAAAATTTGGGGGGGGGGAAAAAAAAAAAGGGGGGGGGGGTTTTCCCGCCCCCGGGGTTTAAAAAGGGGGGGGGAAAAAAACTTTTTGGGGGGGGGGGGGGGAAAAAAAAAAAGGGAAAGGGCCGGGAAAATTTTTTTTGGGAAAAAAGGGGGGGAAAAAAGGGGGGGGTTTTTTCCTTTTTTTTTAAAAAAAGGAAAGGGGGGGTTTCCGGGGGGGGGGAAAAATTTTTTTTTTAAAAAAGGGGAAAAAAAATTTTTTTTTTAAAAAAAAAATTTTTGGGGGGAAAAATTTTAAAAATTTTTTTAAAATTTTTTTTTTTTTTGGGGGGGAAAAGGGGCCGTTGGGAAAAAAGGGGGGAAAAAAAAAATTTTTAAAAAAATTTTATTTAAAAATTTTTTAAAAAAAAAAAATTTTTTTTTAAAATTTTTTTTAAAAAAAAAAGGGGGGGGGGTTTGGGAATTTTTTTTTAAAAATTTTTTAAAAAAAGCCCAAAAGGGGAAAAATTTGGGGGGAAAGGGGGGGAAAAAAATTTAAAAAATTTCCTAAAAATTTAAAAAATTTTTAAATTTTTTTTTTTTTAAAAAAATTTTTAAAAAAAAAAAGGGGGGGGGGGGTTGGGGGGGGGGAAAAAAAAAAAAAAAAAACCTTTTTTTCCCCGGGGGGAAATTTAAAAAAAATTTAAAATTTTTAAAGGGGGAAAAAAAAGGGGGGGGGGGAAAAAAAAAAAAAATTGGGGGGGAAATTTAATTTTTTTAAAAAAAGGGCCAAATTTTGGGGGGGGGAAAAAAATTTTTTTAAAAATTAGGGGGGGAAAATTTTTAAAATTTTGGAAAAGGGGTTTTTTTGGAAAAAAAAGGGGGGGCTTAAATTTTTAAAAAAAAACCCATTTTTTTAAAAAAAATTTTTGGGAAAAACCCAACCCAAAAAAAAAGGGGGGAAAGCCCCCTTTTTTTTCCGGGGGGGGTTTTTTTTAAAAAAAAAAAACCAAAAATTTTGGGGAAAAAAAAAAAAATTTTTTTAAAAAATTTTAAGGGGAAAATTTTTTGGGTTTTTTAAAAATAAAATTTTTTTTTAAAAAAAAAAAAAATTTTAAAATTTTTGGGGAAAAAAAGGGGGGGGTTGGAAAAAAAAAAGGGGAAAAAAATTTTTTTTTTGGGTTTTTTTTTTAAAAAAAGGGGTTTGGGGGGGTTTTTTAAAAAAAATTTTTTTTTAATTTTTAAAAAAATTTTTTTTTTTAAAAAAAGGGTTGGGGGTTTTTTTTTTTTCCCGGGGGGCCCTTTTTTTTTAAAAAATTTTTTTTTTTGGATCGCAAATCCTCGAAGAAGTGGAAAGGTCATTGTTGGTGTGGATTACCCAAAAACAGCAGGAGATAGTATGTGAAAAGGCAAGGCAGTTGCATGACGATCTCGTAAAGAAAATGCCTGCAACGAGTGGTGATGCTTGTGATTTTAAGGCCAGCAAAGGTTGGTTTGAAAGATTTAAGAAGCGTAGTGGCATTCACAGTGTGATAAGACATGGTGAGGCTGCCAGTTTATTTATTTATTTATTTATTTACAATTTGAGCACACATACAGAGGTACAAAAAAATACAGATAAGAGCAGCATGCCAAAGCCACTTATACTATGCATAGCATTACGGGCTGGCTTAAAATTAACTTAAGATTAACTAAGCAATGATGAAATCAGTGATAAAACATTAATGTAAACAGATTACTATAAAGCACAAGTGAGTATTACAAAGACAGGTCATATGGTTGCATGCATTGCTGTACATTCAGTAGAATGGAGTATTCTGTTAGGTAGTGTATTTAAAAAATAATAAAGTTAGATTGGGTTTTAGGTTTAACATTTATGTGATATAATTGTGAGAAACATTTAAGATATACAATTTATAAGGTTCAGTTATTCAGTATTTATTTGGTTTTGGGTGAGTAAGTGATCTTTGAGAAGAGACTTGAATTTATAAACAGGTAGTGTTTCTTTTATATTTACAGGTAATGAATTCCAGATTTTAGGGCCTTTTATGTGCATTGAGTTTTTGCATAGCGTGAGATGGACACGAGGAACATCAAAGAGTGATCTGTGCCTTGTGTTATGGTCATGTGTTCTGTTGAGGTTGGCAAGGAGATGTTTGAGGGGAGGGTTAATATCAGAGTTAAGTGTTCTATGTATGTAATAGGTGCAGTAATAAGTATGGATGTTTTGTATGGTGAGTAGGTTGAGTGTATTGAATATTGGTGGAGTGTGCTGCCTGTAGTGAGAATTTGTTATCATTCTAACTGCAGCCTTTTGTTGGGTAATTAGTGGTCTGAGATGGTTACTTGTTGTTGAGCCCCATGCACAAATTCCATAGGTGAGATAGGGGTAAATAAGAGAGTGATATAGGGCCAGGAGGGCTGACTGTGGAGCATAGTACCGTATCTTCGATAGTATGCCTACAGTCTTGGAAATTTTCTTAGAAATTTGTTGTATATGTGTATGAAATTTGAGTCTATTATCAAGGTGGATTCCTAAGAATTTTCCCTCTGTTCTGACAAAAAAGTAGCTGAGAAGTTTGTACAGGAGTGGTGTGCACAGTATTAAAAAATTCTGGGACCACTTAGTACCTTGTGGAAGCGCCAGTTAAATTGAGCACCAGCTAGAGCAAACAGTGCCGCAAACACCAAGGATTCACTTATGTAATGTCATATTAACACCTCTTTTAAGAGGAAAGTTATGTTAACCCCAAGTTTAGGGTCTGTCGATCTCTGTATCTATCTGTCTATCTTTTTCAATCTGTCTTTGTCTGTCTCACAGGTACACACAAATACAAGTATACATAGTATAAATTACCTAGGATAACCCAAAAATCCAGACAAAGTGCTATACTCTGCTTGAAGATATGAGTAAGGTTGATGACGCAGTCTTGTGGCTCTCGCTGAGACAGACAGAGAAATAGACAGACAGAAATGTTTGTGTACCAGCAAAAACAAAGCGAGGGGGATGGTCATCTAATCTTTTCTTATCAGCTGCATCTTCCCCCACCCTCGTGTATGCTCATCAAACGTCAGCTCTTATCAGATGTTATCTCAGCTTATCATGTCACTGTCAGGGGTGGACTTTGTTTTTCATGCTTCAAGGGAACATGTATTATGTATTATTATTACCTATTATTATTACTATTCTCCTCCTCCTCCACCACCACCTTCTTCTCCTCCACCTCCTCCTTCTTCTCCTCCACCTCCTTCTTCTTCTCCTCCACCTCCTTCTTCTTCTTCTTCTCCTCCTCCTCTCCTCCTCCTCCTCCTCCTCCTCCCTCTCCTCCTCCTTCCACATATCCAAAACATTGCTGGGACCTATAAATACTTTGTTTATATTCCAAGACAACAGTAAATGACCAAGGCAGGTGTAAATGTCCACCTGTCAATGTCTTTGTGACAATTTGAGTACAATTTCAGTACCTAATACTAGTGTCAGAATGAAGATTGGTTATGAAATGACAAGAACTACTATAAATTGTAATTATCAGAACATAAAAATTATATAAAATATGAAAAATAGAAAAAAAGGTATATCGGCAACACTTCTGCAAGCAACAGGACTCCATGTTGCCGTCACATGAGCATCCAGTGCCAACTTCTCTGCCTCATATCTCCCTAAGTACTGACCCTATTTTTTTTTTATTCTCAAAATATTCGGGGCGCTGTGCGAGTGAACATATTTATATGTTTGGACCGTTTAAGGGTTAAGGAGTGCGCAGACACTGGAGAATTCAAACCCCAACAAGTGTTTAATTGTGATGAAACAGGCCTCTTTTGGAGAAAAATGCCAAAGAGGACCTACATCACGCAGGAGGTAACAGCACTCCCAGGACACAAGCCTATGAAGGATAGGCTTACTCTCATGTTTTGTAGTAATGCTAGTGGGGATTGCAAAGTGAAGCCTTTACTGGTGTATCACTCTGAAAATCCCAGAGTGTTCAAGAAAAACAGTGTCGCCAAGAGTAATTTGTGTGTGATGTGGAAGGCTAACAATAAGGCATGAGTCACAAGAGGAATTTTCCAACACTGGTTTAATGAAGTGTTTGGCCCCAGTGTGAAGAAATACCTCCTGGAAAATAAATTGCCACTCAAGTGCCTCCTGGTAATGGACAATGCTCCTGCTCATCCTCCAGACTTGGAAGAGCAAATAGTGGAGGAGTTTAGTTTCATCACTGTGAAGTTCTTGTCCCCTAATACAACTCCTCTCATCCAGCCCTTGGACTAGCAGGTCATTTCAAACTTCAAAAAACTATACACCAAAGCAGTGTTTCAAAAGTGCTTTGAAGTGACCTCAGACTCTGAATTGACCCTAAGAGAGTTCTGGAAAGATCACTTCAATATCCTCACTTGCATAAACCTTATAGGTAATGCTTGGGAAGGAGTGACTTGCAGAACTTTGAATTCTGCTTGGAGAAAATTGTGGCCAGAATGTGTACAAGAGAGGGATTTTGATGGGTTTGGGGCTGACCCTAAGGAGCCTATGCCAGTTGTGGAATCTATTGTGGCATTGGGGAAGTCCCTGGGGTTGGAGGTGAGTGGCGAGCATGTGGAAGAGTTGGTGGAGGACCACAGGGAAAAGCTGACCACTGAAGAGCTACAAGAGCTTCATCTGCAACAGCAAGAGATCACAGCTCAGGAAATTGCTGCAGAGGAGGAGGAAGAGAGATGGAGAAAGTGCCTTCTTCAAAGATTAAGGACATTTGTGCAAAGTGGACTGAAGTGCAAACATTTATGGATGAACTTCACCCTGACAAAGCTGTTGCAGGCTGTATTGGCAACATGTACAATGACAGTATTGTGTCCCACTTCAGACTAATCTTAAAGAAATGCCAGAAACAGAGCTCTCTGGACAGATATTTTGTGCAACAGGGGTTCAGTGACTCTCAAGTTGTTCCCAGTGTCTTTAAAAAACAAACAAGGGAAGTAACCCCAGATAAGGACTTGGTACCTGAAGTCCTAATGGAAGGAGATTCTCCTTCCAAACAACAGTGTACACCTTCCTCCTATCCCCTCCTCCCATCTTCCATCCACCCAGAAGTCCTCAGTAAAGGTAAGTGTAATGTTATTATTATTTTATATATGTATGTACTTGATTTCTCATTGTTCTCAGTATGTAAATCTTTATTTAATTTGAAAAAAAAAAATTATTTTAATATTTTTGGGTGGCTGGAACGGATTAATTTTATTTCCATTATTTCTTATGGGGAAATTGGTTTCACCATTCGGCAGACTCTGGAACGGATTAATCACGAAACTCGGGGGTCCACTGTATATGCATGTGCTTGTCTGTGTAGTGACCTAAGTGTAAGTAGAAGCAGCAAAATATACCTGTTACCCAGCGTGTTTATGAGACACAGAAGAGACACCAGCAATCCTACCATCATGTAAAACAGTTACAGGTTTCTGTTTCACGGAGACTTAGTGTTTACGGATCTCACAGAGAATGTAAACAAACCGGGTGGGGCGCGGTGACCGTATTAGAAAGTCAGGTGGGGGGAGCCGTATAGCGAGTTTTGGTCATAATTTGAAATGACCGTATTAGCGGAACGCCGTAAAGCGGGACCCTACTGTATATTGGTGAAAACTTATCTAGCATTTATAAGTGGAAAAAATGGCATTCTGCTTTCTGGCGGTAGCCTGGAACCTAACCTGCCATGTAAGTGGGGCCCCTACTGTACCAAGAACCAGCCAATAAAATCATTCAAGAAAACTCCTCAAAAATCACTATTCTAACCCTTTCATTGTCCAGACCCCTGATCTGAAACTTGTCTGCAGCATCCAAGAATTAAAAAAAAAAAAAATCTTACGAAATGGTAGAGAATCTTTTTCTGATGGTAATAAAATTAAAAGTATGAAATTTGATGGAAAATTTATGAAAATGTGCTTTCACAAATTTTGCTGTGTCAGCAATATTTACGCATTGGTGATTTTGCCCACTCTGAGTCCTCTTTTTGACCAATTACATTTGTTCAAGTAGACCAAATTCTTAGCTATCTCACTAGTGTTTTCCATTTTATCGACTGAGCACAAGAAACCACCCAATCAACTATTTCAACTACCCAATAATGTGATAAAAATTTGGTAAGTTGGCCAATTTCACACAAATTTCAAAATATTAAAATTTCAAAATAGGGTCCAGAATAAACAATGCAGACATTCCTGGCACTAAAATAACATATCCTCTTTTCATTAGTTATGTTCTTAGGATTTATATATGAATTCCATTTTTATTTTTTATTCATACAAAAAGTAGAAGACTTACTGTAATGCAATATTATAATAATTGTATAATTAGACCCACCAGTTGGATGTGAATTTTACGAGTGATTTGTTTACTTCTGAATATCAGCAAATATCAAACATTTCTGCTACTATGAGCTCAATTTCAAGCTATTTTCAGTTCTGAAACCAATCAAAATCATCTCTATTTCTGTAATATATCTTCCATTCTATCAAATGAGACCAAGAAACTGATAATACAACTGTAAAATCTATACGGAAATTCGCTGTTTTAAACCAAAAACACTCTCCCAGTTTTATTTCTTGTGCACTGCATGCTGCAGGATTGTTTTTTTATGGTGCACACTTACCACAAAGACCCATTCTCTAATATCTAGGTCTATATTTACCACTCACAGCTGAGCTCGTGGCGCAGTACTATGGCAGCAACAGTGACCTCATACTCTTAGTACTACAGCTTGGACAATGAAAGGGTTAAACCATATATATGGTCAAGGTTTTGAGTTTCCCATCATGTACCATATGGGTTACGATTTTTTTTATACTACACACTCGCTCCACAGACCCATTCTCTCATATCTAGGTCATAATTTACTGCTCACAGCTTACCTAAATGAGCTGAACTTGTGAAGTACAACTAAGCAAGGAACCCTGGCCTCAATGACACAGTTCTAGCGACAGCCAATTAATTCATTGAAAAGTTCAATATAACAAAATTTTTGTTAAATCTGACCTCCCCTTCCCTCTGTTAGTCCGTATTATCAATAATTAGGTTTGAGGGAATATCCTGGGTTATATAATGCAATTTATGTCAATATATATATATGTGTGTGTGTGTGCCTTCTAGACCACTGTAAAACATATTTGTAAGGAAATCTTATGATGTTACAATTATTTCAAGGTGTAATACTCATCAATATATGGAAAAAGTTGCACTGTTTAATTCTGCTGGGTTATCTTAGGTTAAATCTACATACAGTAGGGCCCTACTTACACGGCAGGTTAGGTTCCAGACTACTGCCACAAAGCAGACATCACCGGAAAGCAGAACGCCATTTTTTCCACTTATAAATGCCAGATAACAAGTTTACATTAACATATATTAAGTCAGCAATAGAACTAGGCATTAAAAAACATAGTAAAATACACACACAGTACACTCATTATTTACCTCAAAATAATTGTAGTCATAATGTAGGGCAAAAGGTTAGTATTTACTGTAAGAGGTCAGGTGTGGGTAGGTATGGTAGCCTCCTGGCCACCCTACCCACACATAATATACTACAATGCTTAAAGTGCTGCAGAGTGATAAAATGTATATACAGTACACACATTACTTAAAATATTTGTAGTCTTAATGTAGGAAGAGAGGTAACAAGTATTTATTTGTAGAAAGTCGTGTGGGAGGCAGGGTAGCCTACCTGGACACCCCACCTACTACGACATTTAACCCATAAACAGTCCAAACGTGTATACAGTAGGGCCCCACTTATACGGCAGGTTAGGTTCCAGGCTACCGCCATAAAGCGGAAACCGCCGTAAAGTGGAACACCCTTTTTTTTTTTTCCTTATAAATGCATACAAACACTAGATAACAAGTTTACACTAACATATATTAAGTTAACAATAGAACCAGGCATCAAAAAACAAAAAAAAAGTACAATACACACACAGTGCACTCATTACTTACCTTAAAATATTTATAGTCTTAATCTAGGGTGAGACAAGTAGTATTTATTGTAAGAAATCAAGTGTGGTATGTATGGTAGTCAGCCAGGCTACCATACCAGGCCACCCCATCTACACATACTATTCTATGATATTTAAGCATCCCAGAGCGATATTATTATTATTATTATTATAATCAAAAAGAAGCGTTAAGCCACAAGGGCTATACAGCGCTGCAGGGTAGGGAAGGAAGCGAGGTTATTGGATGGCAGAAGGGAGGAGGGATGATCAGTAGGTTACAGAAAACAGCGGGGCAGG